AAATGACCATCCGTAGTAACGAAAGCTGTATATTGTTTTGAGGACTCTTCAATTTCTATTTGGTGATATCCCATGCGAAGGTCAAGTGTCGTAAAGAATCTGTTACCTGAGAGCTGAGCAAACTGCTCCTCCATATTTGGCATAGGGTAAGGATTTTTAATAATGATTTTGTTTAATGCACGATAATCTACGCAGAGTCGATGCTCACCATTTTTCTTTTCTACCAGAACCACGGATGAGGCATACGGTGATGACGAAGGGCGTATGATGTCATTTTTAAGCAAATCAAGAACAATGTCCGAAACGATTTTGCGTTTGGCAAATGCTATCCGATATGGTTTTTCCCGAATAGGTACGTCAGTGCTGACTTTAAAACTCATTTTGTTGATAACACATTTGCCTAGTTCAGACATACTTTCTGCAAAAACGCCACGGTACGTTGAGAGTAGACCTTTAAGTTGTTTGCGTACATCCGACGGTATTTCTACCGATGTTTGCAGATCTTCTATATGGCATTTGTCTCCCTCTATGATAAGACGTTTACCTTCACGGCACAATACATCACGACCCAGCAAAATATTTTCGGGTATTTTTCCGTCATCCACGATCAACAAATCGGTTATAAATTCGTTATTATCAAAATCTACGACAGCATTTATTTTAGAGGTGCAGATAAATTTTCCATCGGCGAAACCACTCAAAGTTACAGAACAACGCAATATTTCATTTTTAAAATCTTTTGCAAATGTCTCACGAATTAGAGTGTATGCACTACCAGGATTTATAAATGATCGCGTCGGTTTTTGATTTACTTTTACAACTTTCGTCACGAGCTCATTTCTTTTTTTCGCAAGTACTTTCAATTTTGTTAACCGTTTGTTTATTCTCGGCATTGTTTTTTTTACTAGGACAATCGGTCTCCTTATGCGTAGTGCGATTGCATATTGAACAACGCTCTTTACGTTGTGGTTCAGGACACTTGTTTGAATAATGGCCTATTCTAGAGCAATTGAAACATTTGACTTTTCTAGTCGTCTCGCTTTCCTTATTATGGAGTGTTTGTATCTTAGAATTGTCTCTAAGATCGTGATTAGTATTTACCGGGTATTTAGGTTTTGGTTTTTCGTTAAAGTTTTGAACATCATTATATACAGTATAAATATTTATATCACGTAAGAGTTCATTACAGAGAGTGTATTCATTCGAGATTTTCTGCTTTAAGCGTGGCTCATTGATGCCATTAATTATATACCGAGCAATTGCATTTTCGGGTACGTTTCCACGAGTACCTATAGATATCATTTTGTAGTAATATTCTTGCGGACTTTCATTAAATTGTCTCTTCGTTTGGGACATTTTGAAGTATACGTCTGCTATGTTTTCTGTAGAAGCAAAGTCTTTCAAAAATTTTGTAGCAAATTCCGTCCAAGAAAGAAACACGTCTTGTGAATTAACCCAATATTTTGTGTATCCTTGCAACTTTTGTTGCACTGCAAATACTAATGTTTGATCGTCCCAACGATATGTAGTTCGTAACATATCGTTCCGTTTTATGAACTGATTTGGCATAAGAGATTTGTCGCTTGACGGATTGAACTCAGGTAAAAGGGTTACAATCTCTCTAACGTTTCCATAAGGATTTTGCGCGTATGGTGGGTAATATGCAATATGACCTCCGTTCATATGTTCATGCCGCATATTACCTATATAACTCGTGCTTGGAACACTACCAACTGGCATGCACCCCAATGCTGCATACTGTGGTTTATATTATGCGCATTAACCGGAAATGTATTCATTCCCGACGATATTGGCATAAAATTATTTACAGACGTTGACATTATTGGCCTTTGCTCCTGCATATTGACATTAGGAATCGGCACTCCCATTGTCGTGACGTTGCTTACATTCAATTCTGCCTTAGATTTATTTTCATTCATATACACTGGAGAAGATATACTTTGTGGCTGGAAATTCTGCTGACTCGTTTGCAGTTCACGTAACGTTTTTTCCAAGAAATTAACTCTCTCCTTCATTGTATCATTGTGTGTTTGGAAAAAACATAAACATGTTCCGAACACATTCTACACGAATGTGTTCGGAAATCGTTTTATTAAGGGTGACAATATTATTAACTACGGTTAATTACTTTTTGGGAAGTAGAAGTTCTAATAAGAGGTGCATCGTTTTCAAGAAAGAAGAATGTGTTCCTTTGCATTTGGAACTTTTTTGGAATGCATTCGAACGTCGTTGGGACGGTATTGACACTGGCCTCAAATGGTTCATTTTGGTCAAAAATCGAAAATGAAAAGAGAATGGTTTATTCTTGCATACAAAATTTTGCTGGTGGATTTATAATAAATCCACCCAACCTCATGCAACAATGTTTGATCGAATCACAACTGGTATGATGTTCAGTTCATACTCATTGCAACCCACAATTGTTTTTGTACGCATGTTTCTTTTGGATTTTTGGTTTTATTTGCATATTTCATTAATATACGAAGTGAATATTAAAAAAATCCCTGAAACAATTTTAGCACATACATCTTCTTATCTTCTTAAAGAAAATAATAGTAATAGAAAATATTATTTTTTTATTGCAAAATGCACAACAAAAATCACTATGTATGTGCAAATGTGATATTGGAGAAATTAAGTCTGCAGTATATGAATATGTATGTTTTTATTGCACATTTGTGCATATTTATTTTTATTTATTTTATTAACAAAGTTATAACATAATTAAAAAGAAATTATATCTAACTTTAATTTGCAGAAGCTATAGCTACTTGGCCTTAAGCTTGCTTGTTTTATTAGTTGACTTTTTTTTTATATGATGGGTATAACGGGGTTTGTGGATAGGAGAGGGTATAGTATTAAGACTAAATTACCTATATTTTTTTTTTTTATGTACCTATATTTCTTACATATATTTCTTTTTTTTTAAATTTGGGTATATAAGCCCACAGATTGGAGGTACTTGATTGTAAGCAGAATGTTAGATTTAGTAGGGTCACCTAATAAGGTGATTGGGTTTGTGTTACCAAATATGGAGTTTCTAATTGTCGAGAAATGTGGACATTCAATTAGAAGATGGTGAACAGAAAATAAAATTCTGCAGAACGGACAAGAGGGTGGTGGTGATCTATTGAATAAATGTGAATGGGTTAAATTGGTATGTCCTAGTCTTAATCGGATGTATTTGGTAAGGTATGCACGCGGAAATTTATGATCGTGTTTAAGAGGGGTGAAATTGAAAATGGAAGTTTTATTGAAGTTAATGTTTTTATAATGAGAGGAGGAGTTATCAAAGATTTCTGAGAATTTGCTTTTAAAAACAGTATCTATATAACTGGAGAGATCTGAGCTTGTGCATATATTTTACCTCAAAAGGAACTACTTCCTAATAGTTTGAATTTTTGGTGACTTTTTGTAATTATTTAAAAAAAATTATTTTAAATAAGACGTGTCTTGTGAAGTCTGTTACAATTCTTAAAACCAAAAAAATATTGAAAGTTTATATAAACATTATACAGTTTTTTTGGCATCCATATACATTTATATTAGACATTTAAAATTTATTCATACTTAGTTTGATTTGTTCAAAAACTTTAGTCTCTAAAATGAATTGTAAAGCGATTGCGGGTAATAAGTGTTGTTTATCTCATTGTAAGAGATCCAAAAGAAATTTTCCCGATTTAAAACTATTTAAATTTCCAAACTATGATTCGCCTATTTTTAAGGAGTGGGCAGACAAATCTAAATTAAGTGAAGAATTTGTTGAAAACGACACCTCATTGTATTTATGTAGTAATCATTTTTCTGCCAAAGTTATTGGAAAAAAGAATCTTAAGCGAGAAGCTGTTCCATCGTTGTGGCTAAAGAATTATGATAAAACTAATGATGATCGGAAAACTGAAAATGATATCTCCATATAAACATAGTGTCCCCAGTTCAAAAACGGATGAAATCAGAATCACATCCTTCTTTGTAAAAAATCTGAATTAAATCATCGTTCAAAAGTAATTAAGTTTAAAAAGCAATTAAAATCAAATTTGTCTACAAATGAATTGATGGCTAACATGAATATTATTAGTAATGAAAAAGTGCTCTCTAAAATGCTGATTAAACCTAATCGAGGAGTTACAGCTGTCTGAAATTTGAATGAACGGCATATTGCTCAAATTAATTATTATAAGTCCACTGCTATGTATTTATTTCTGTGAAACACGTTAAAGTTCAATTTTGGAAGTCCCTCATCCCTGCGGAGATGGAATGAAATAAAAAATGTACAGCCTGGACATTATATTTGTATTTATAAAGCGCTTGAAAAAAAAGTCCTCAGAAAAGACTCAATTGAAAAGTATTTTAAAGACCTTCAATATTAAGGTAGCAAAATATTTTGCGTTGCCGGATTAATACAATCGACAAATGGTGTGTTGCCTTTGACAAACGACTTGTTTAAAGAAAATATGTACAAACATTTCCGTTATTCTGACTATCCGCTTCAAACAAAATCCATTAGAAAACACATTTTCGTATATACATACATATGTACGTGCCAAAGGTGGGCATAACAAAAATCCGTCGGTGTACGAGCTTAATATAATTGTGGCAAAGCTATTGTCTTTAAAATTGCATCAATTTAACTCATAGTTAAATTGCTTACAAAATGAAGATGTTATGCTGGAATTAGATTTTTGGTCAATGTTAAAAAATATCCGCAATTTGCATGGAGTACATACCGTAAATCCTAATAGCGAACACGTTGTATTAACTTCGGAGGACGTTTGTGGAGACTATGATACGTACCTCCATGAAGAAGTGGACTCATTCTATTTAGATAGAATTCCTACAGAATTGATTTTTAGTCGTGAAAAATGTCGAATGAACACAGTCAAATTTAATGAAATTTTGTTTTATCCATCAGAGATGTGTATAAACACATTAAAAACTATAAAGGTAAGTCCACACCTAAGCGAACGCTTGCGAACGAACGTTCGCACAAATGCATGCGAATTATTTTAGGTGTGGACGGGTAAAAAACTTTATAGGAAACAAAGCGAACGAACAAAAATTTGTAAGGTGGTCTACACGATGAAACAATTGCGAGCGAACGCATTTGTAGAGTTTGGTAGTGTTCCGATGCATTTGCGTTTGCTGTAAAATTTGTACCAATTCGTTCGTTTGTTCGATTGTATTTGCTGTTAGATGTGGACGAATATTTTGTATGAAAAGAAATATTTGTTTGCGTTCGTGAATGTTCGCTTAGCGATGGAACAATGAACGAATGTGTTCACATATTCTATATTATTAGTGTCTAGTGTCTTATTTAAAATACTTTTATATTTACAAATCAATATGGAATGGCGAGATAATCGCGTTTTTCAATTAATTGAACTGTACAGGAATAAAGAGTGTTTGTGGGACTGTACAAGTCCTAATTACAAAAATATTAAAATGAAACACGATGCCTGGACAAATATTGCTCATGATATGGAAATAGATGTCAACGACATAAAGAAAAAAATGAATTCTTTGTTATCGTCTTTTCGACGCGAGCGGAAGAAGCAAAAAGAAAAGAAGTCTGGAAGTGCTGCTGATGAGCAATATAAGTTCACGTGGTTTGGCTCTAAAGCGATGGAATTTCTGTTGGATAAATTCCAACCAAAAAACGTTACTGACGTTGGTTTACAAGAAGTATGTATTCATTTATATATTACCAATATTTATGTAAAATCGTTTTGTAAATTTTTGGATTTTTATTGTTTATTCTTAAACCTGACTTAGTATTTACAAGTAATTTTTTAATAGTATTAAAAAATAAGCTTAATAACGTAATTTATTTAATAAAGAAAATCTACGCATAATAATCCTGCCAAGGAATTTTTCCTGCATCCATAAAGTATTCTCCATACAGCTTTCTAATATCTTCACCTTGAGCTGGAGGCTTTCTAGCCACTTTTCGTAAAGATTTAAAAAAATTGCAATCGTTAGTGTCTGTTCTCCAAGTGCCTGGAGTAACAATGCCATCACATTCACTGTCAAGTGTCCCCGGAGGGTTATACAAATGTTTCGAAGAACTGCTTGACCGTAAAAAATTGTGAAGATGTATACAAGCTAAAACTATAATAGATGCTTTTTCTGGCTGTAATTGAATAGGTTTTCTTAAAACACGAAAAACGCTGGACAAAACTCCGAATGTGCTCTGGAAAGTCTATAGTTGAAAATACGCTCTATTGAGCCTTTATCGTGTTTTCCGCTGTAGGGCTTCAAAATATTTGGTTTCAGTGGAAAAGCATCATCAGCAACAAAAACAAATGGTACTTTGTTTGTGCTCCCAGGCAACGTCATTTCTTCTGGTAGTCCCAAAGTTTCATTTTTAAGTTGTTTGTAGAAAGCGCTGTTATTAAAAACGCCGCCATCTGATATTCTTCCTTGGCAACCTACGTTAGCAAATAAAAATTTATATTCTGCATCCACAATACCCAGAAGAACAATACTAAAAGAAGATTTGTAGTTGAAGTAATCGCTTCCTGAATGAAATGGAGCTTGAAGAACACAGTGCTTTCCATCTATAGCTCCGATACAATTGTTGAAGTTCCATTTCTGTTCAAAAACTTTAGCAACAGCGCACCATTCTTCAGGAGAAATAGGCAAAGCCGAACAAACTTCAGGTACAATTTTGGATATAGATTGCTTCGATATTCTAAATAAATACTCCAAGCTGGTAAATGAATCCCCAGTTGTCAAAAATCTGAGGGTGACTGCCAGTCTTTCTGCTGGAGTTATACTTTTTCTAAACTTTGTATCTTCTTTCGATATTTTAGAAGATATCAATTTTAAAATCTTATCGAAGTCCATTTCAGACATCCGACAGAAGTTATGAAAGCGTTTAACATCCAGTTCTTTAAAAAGCGGTGTGCATATACAATTTCTTTTATTCAGAAACTCTGACATCCAACATTTACGCTTTTTTTTGGAGCCCTCAGATATAACTATGATAGCAGCACTAGCTATAATCACGTTATTGCTCATTTCTTTATATATTATTATATTTATATTTTATATACTTTATATATTATATAATAGATTATGTAATATAATTACACACACGACTAATCACGATTGTTGCATAAAAGAAAACATCAAATGAGCGAACATTCGTTTGCATGTCATCTACGCACAAATGTACAATAAATTTGTACGAACGTTCTATTGCGTTTAGTAGACGTCCAGATTACATAGCAAATGTAAGCGAGCGAACGATCAAACTCTACTCAAATTTCTTGCCGAACGCAAATCCTTCCGAATGCTAACGAACACTACAAATCGAATCGTTCGCGTTTGCTTTGCCGTCCACATTACCTGCGAATGTTCGTTCGTTCGCAAGCGTTCGCTTAGGTGTGGACTTACCTTAAGGTTAACAGCGAATTTGGAAGCTTGTGTGACTAACAAATTTATTTTTAAATATTTGCAAGATACATATTTAGGTCCTTGAAAAGATTTTTAAGAAAATATAAGAAAAATTATAATGGAAAAATGTGTAGAAGTCACTGACATCATTTATAAGGCTGGTTTGACGAAACGCATGAATGCTATTTATACCGGATTGAAATGTTAAAATTGGTGATTACGATATTGCTTCCGAAACATCGTTTATGGAAAACATTAAAAACAAATCATAAAAACATAGAATGAAAAAACTCAGATTTGAGACATACAGTCGGAGTCATAAGTCTACAAGCAGGCAGTACAAAAAACTTTGAAAATATTTTCCAAAAAAATCAATTTATTATTGTTTTTTCATAACATTCACAATGTTTTGGCAAAGTTTCGTTGCATTTGTTCAAAAAACAGCCGAGATAACGTTACTTTTATCGTAAAGAGTAGCAAAACAAATTATCATAAGTCTACATGCATTAGGTATTTCTGCAGTTCTAAGGCGAGTTAAATGTTAATTTGTAAAAATTTGGATTGCGCCTTATTGTGTTTGTGGTATGTTAATTAGTTATAAAACGGCAAAAAATTGTATTCTGCTTAAAGTATTTACTACAAACTGGCAATGGTGTCTCACCGGAAAGAAATAAGCGTCGTAGAAAGAAAAATCATCATAAAATTTTGGGAGGAAGGGAAGTCGAACCGGGAAATTGGACATTTGGTTGAAAGGTCGCACTGTACGGTAAATACCGTGATCAAAAATTGGAAAACTACCGGTCGTCCACCGAAACTCACACACCGTGAAAGCAGCTTAATATTAAATTCGGTAACGAAAAATTCACGTTTGACGGCGAAGGAAATTGTACGTAATATACAGGAATGCTTTTCAAAAAATATTTCTGTGGTTACTGTACGCAGAATTTTAAGGCGGGCCGGTTTTCATGGTAGAGTAGCACAAAGAAAGCCTTACATATCTTTAATTAATAGAAAGAATCGCATTGCGTTTGCCAATAAATATATAAATATACCTAAGGAGTTTTGGAACAATGTGCTTTTCTCCGATAAATCCAAGTTCTGTATTTTTGGCATTCAAGGACGTAAATTAGTATGGCGTGAGCGAGGTGAAGCATACAATAAACAAAATCTTTTCCCAACTGTAAAGCATGGAGGTTGTGCAGTGATGCTCTGGGGTTGTATGGCAGCTAATGGTACAGGCAGTCTCGTGTGTGTGGACACAACAATGGATAGACATATTTATGTAAACATTTTGAAGCGTAATATGCGATCAAGTGCTGACATATTGGGACTAACAGATCGATTTTATTTTCAACAGGACAATGATCCTAAACCTACAGCAGAAATTGTCAGTCTTTGGTTGCTATATAACACCCCTAAACTGCTAAATACGCCTCCACATTCATCAGATTTAAATCCAATTGAACATTTATGGGCCCTTTTCGAAAGAAAAATTCGCAAACATTCAATTTTGACCAAACAACATCTGAAAGACATAATCCTAAAGGAATGGGGCGAAATAACAACTCGGGAGACCAGTAAACTTGTATTTTCGATGAAAAACCGTTTAGTGCAAGTTTTTAAGCGTTGCGGGTACCCAACTAATTACTAAATTGCATAACAAATCAGGAATTTACACTTAAAAGTCGTTTTATACTGAGTGCTCGTAGACTTTAGATCGCTTGTTTTGCTACTTTTCACAAGAAAAGTAACGCTATCTCGGCTGTTTTTTGAACAAATGCAACGAAACTTCGCAAAAACATTGTGCATTGAATGTTTTAAAAAAACAACAAATCATGTTTTCAATAAATTGTTTTTTTTGGAAAAAATTATCAAACAAAGTTTTTTGTACTGCCTGCTTGTAGACTTATGACTCTGATTGTATGCAGTCGGGCTTTTGTCAGCGTAACTCGACTCACGTATAGGTTTGAACTAAACATCATACCAGTTGTGACTCGATCAAACATTGTTACATGAGGTTAGGTGAATTTAGCGTAAATCACCAGTAAAATAAAGTAGGTATTTCGTTTGTGTGAGCGTGGCGTTTCTTTGTACTCTAGGTTCTTTGCTACAACTATAATGATATAATTTCATATAATTAAAATATGACTATTAATAACAAAAACATAAATAATTTAATTTAACAACAAAAAATCGGCATAACATGAAGGCCTAAGCCTTAACATATATTATATAAAAGTCACTGAAAGCCACGTCGTATCAACGCAGTTACAACTCTACGAAATCATCTGTAATTACATGAAAATAAATGTACAACAAATACATATATATATTTTAAATAAATGAGTAATATGTGTACCTAACTCATTTATTTGTAATTTGTATTAATATTTTTTCCGCTTTTATTTATTGCTATCATTAGCAATAAAGAACAAAAATACAGGTTCTTTATTGCTACATAGGAAAGTACTCACGCTGCGCGGTTATGTACATAAGTAAAAGTATGTTTTAAAATAAATAATCCAAATATATATTACTTAGCAATATATTTAATAAGTAAGAAAGTAAATGCGCTGTGTCGTTATTTTAATTAATCAGTCCAGTACGTTCACAGAGGAACATTGGTGTCGTTATGTACCTAGGTTAAATCGTTAGTAAAAATTTAAATAAAAATTAGAATCAGAAATGCACTCATAAGAAGCGTATCAAGTTTTTCACTTTAATAACCTTTTTTTATTTTAAAAAGTAATCAAGAATATAATATAAACGCCAAAATATTTAAGAAGTTTACATGGCGACCGTGACTTTGAATAAAAGGCGTTTAACACAACTCATAGCGGCAAATAAAAATGGAAGGCCGCGATTGCACTTTATGCCTTGCATTGGTCTGGTTAGTATAGCACAATCGGAAGGCTGTTTAGAGTATCTATGTATGGTATTCTAAAAGAGTTTTGGCAACCATGGCAACTCTGAAATAAGAGTGACATCTTTCGGTGTGTACAAAAGCTAAAAAGAATGTGTTTGCAGTTCTAAGTAGTTAATGTTACTTTATATATTGTATTAAATAAACTGTTTGGACAAACGACTAAAAATATAAATTATAAAATTTATTTAATAATTTCAATTTATATGATTTGATATAATAATAATAATAATTTTAAATAGAAAACATAATTAATTATTAAATAACATGATGCTTATTAACATACTTCATGTTGTGCTTTCATAAGGCATAACAATGTTTTTACTGTTAAACATATTAATAGCATTTATTCTGACAACTATGGTTAGATTAGAGCAGAGAAAGAAAACACACGCAGTAGTGCACGTGAAGCTTGATTGTTAATAAAAAACAATATGCCAAGTACACCAATCGTGCAGCGATAAAAGCATGTTGCGACAAGTTTAGTAGCGCAAACACTCCCTCCGTTGTTCTACCACCAGACATTTTGCTGATCCATCTGGAGAAATAAAATGGTGACATATGCATGTCATTGAGAAGGATCTTTAGAACTGAAAAGGACAAGAATGACGGGCAACCCATTATAGTCTCAGGAGGCGAGAAATCCAAAAATTGGATAGTCAGTCAGGCAAGGAAGTTGTACCTGAACTTTAAGCAAATTCACGAACGTGTGAAAGGAGAACCGAGTAAACCTAAATAACTGGCGACAAAAAGACCATCAACGGAAGAGAATCCCTGTGAATTTAAACCACAGGTGCCTTCATCCAAAAGGCCGCATTCAAGTGAAAGACCTAGTACCTCAAAAGCACAGGTACATAGGTGAAGCGACACAGTAAAGGTTACACGGGATAGCTTTCGAACCGATGCTGGACTCAGCACCTCTAGGCAATATGGTAATACACAGGTCTCTAGAGTGCAAGACTTCCCTCGACAGGAAACACCCACTAATGGAACGAAATTGCCCAAGTGGATGCGGAACGGTAAGGGTCGCCAAAGCTGTTACGGCGGATTTGACACAGCGCCTCATATCTAAAAATATTGACGTAGCCTTTATCCAGAAGCCATATGTATATGAGAACAAGATAAAGAGACTGAAAGGTAAGTTACTGTACGACCATGCCAGTCATGGTCAACTTCGTGCTTGTACTTTAGTAAAATATGGTATTAATGCTTTCTTTATTTCACAACACACAAATAAGGACCAGGTAGCAGCTATTATCTCTGCGGACACCCCAGTAAGTAAGACAGGGCTCATTGTTTGATCATCGTACATACCTGGAGACTCCCAAGACCTGAACTTTTTATCACTGAAAGGTCTAGTGGACTACAATATAAAAAACAAGAGTCAACTCATCGTTAGAAGTGACACTAATGCATACCACTCGATTTGGGGCAGCACCAATATTAACAAAAGAAGTGAGTGCCTATTTCAATTTATTATAGGTAACGACCTAAATATTTTGAATACGGGCAATATGCCCACTTTTATAAAGAGAATCAATGAAAAGATACCAGACATCACCTTAGCCACACAATTTATAAAACATATTATCAAAAATTGGAATGTTTCAGCAGAAACATCCATGTTTGCTCATCGTCAGATAAGATTTGATATTGATTTAAATATGAAAGTAACGAACTCGTATAGGGTGCCTAGGGCCACAGAGTAGATTCTATATACAGACTCATAAGCAACCTAAGCAATAACAAACATACCTGAAGCACAACTATTATAAATGCCTGCCATGGGGACTGTCCGGTGAAAAATAAAACCGGCAAGAGAAGTGCACCATGGTGGAACAACAAATTACCAATGACTGCAAAGAGTCAGTTATAATACGAACAGAAGTATACTTTTCGTGATCCACAATTTGAGACCAATCAAACTCCTAGCTCAATTCCCTGATGCTCAAAAGGTCCAGGGCCAATGACTGGAAGATTGCTCATAAAATTTTCACTAAGAGTAAAATTGAATGGGTGATCAAGCCAGTCTCACCTTTCAAAGCCGCTGGAGCAGACGGTATATGTCCAGC